ATTTGATGAATTCAGCGAAAAAAATTACTATCAAAAAAATGAACTGAATACTAACAAATGTCCTCATTTCATTTGCTTACATAGTTATTTTAGAAATTTGTTTCATTAATGAAATGGTTTTTCAATTGTTCACTTAGACAAAATTCAAATAATTTTTTTAAAATAAATATTGACTTGGATAAGTTTAGCCTTAATAATATAAAATGAATGAAATTTACTTTTCACAACCTTTTAAACATACATTCATCTTATAATTATAACATACGGCAGTATAAAAAAAAATTCAAATCCATTTTTTGGTATTACAATTTTTATGGAATTAAAAAATTATAAAGATGCAATAACGCTTTTATCTTGACAGTAATTACCGGTATATTTTAGAACTCTTAAAAGATGAAAGTGGGAAAAATGGACAAATGGATAATATTTAATCATGAATGTTTCAAAAGAGTGATTAGTTATATTATTTGTTTAACTTACTATCGCCTCATTTTTTCATCGGAAATTTTTGTCAATAAATCTTTACGTATATAAGGCTAATTTTATTTCACATTTAAATTATTTATCATTTACTTCATCGTAATTATCCTTTCTTCTTTTCTCTCTCTCTTTTTCTCCTCTCTTTCTCTTCTAATATTGTAATTTTTAAATTGTAATGTATGTGCATATTCTTATATTATTACAACAAATATTTCAAAAGAGTTACATTTGCCAAACTTTCTTGTTGTAAATATATTTAAAAAAAATAATTTGATTAATTGAAATTTTGGAAAAGTTCATTTTATCATCTGAATTGATGATATTTTCGATAATAATATCATTGCTTCGCAATTATTTTTTAATTTTTTCATCAATTCTTCCTTTTTTTTTCACTTCTTTATACTTTGGAATTATTGTATTAATATCTTTAATTCATCACATTTTGTAAATAAAAAACTAATGTTTTTTTGATGAAATGCCCAATAACCAAATATGACGTTTACTTCGTTTTATCTTGATGTTAAGATTCAAAACTGCTAGATAGAAGGAATAAATAGGGGAGTTATATTATTGCTGTTAAAAAAATCCTGGTGAAATTGTCGTAACTTTATTCAAATTATTACCTGATCCATGATTAATTAGTTTCTAGATAATCAAAAGTCATCCACTCTAATAATTAGCCCAAAAATAGGCGAAATTATTAAAATTGTTTTTCTGGTTGAGTAAGCAACCTATAGCTTTCGAACCACTTAATCATAACATGCAGCAAATACTTTCCATCCCAATAAAAGAATTAAAATTATCTGGAACACAAGTCTATTCTTCTAACACTGCCTAATTATTTATTTTTGGGCTTATAGAAATTAGTGAAAAAATTGTGTTATATATTATAAAATCATATATTTATGTTTTTATTATGCCTAAATAATTCACACTAAAACTGCAAATGACTGTCAGAAAAAATTTTGAACAAAATTTAATAAATAAACAATAATTGAACAGATCTTGGCATATAAATAATGAGTTCTTTCGCCACAAATGTTTGATAATTAACTGACTTTTTATATTAATTAACGCTATGTAAATAATGGTGCTTAAATGAAACGAAATGAAAGGGAAAACTTTTTGTCCTTTCTTTCTGAAGGATGAAAGAAATCAAAGAGGTCAATCTTTGACTGACCTCTTCTTTTCATTGGTTTTTTCACAATTCATGCCATTCAATTAGCATAATCAAAGGTGGAAAGAAATGGAATAATGCTGTTCCAACTTTTTCTAACTTTTTCCAATCCATCTTTCTGTTATTGTAAAACTTAAGATGTAATTTTCAAATTGTTTGATTAGTATAGTTTGTGTAAATCAACATTTTATTAGATGATTCGAAATTTCGGTTTTTTTATAAAAACATAAATGAGACTTACTTTGTCAAAGTGATATTATTTTTATCAGATGTTTTTTAAATTTAAACACGTAGTCTTCTTTTAAATCTAATTGATCGATTTGTTTGTAAAATTTTCTAATCCAATCTACTATTGATTCAAGTCTATGTACGATATATTCATGTGGTAAATAAAGTTTACAAAACTAAGCAAATAAAAGATCATTCTGGTCTTTAGAGTTGTTGTCCCTTCCTCTAACTCTGGAGAAAAAAGAATGTTAAATTAATTATGAAATAAAATTTCCAATTATATGCAAATAAATAAGCTGCTAATAATGAATATTTAATTTCTGACCTTTTGACTTTCAAAAATTGCCAAATAATAAAAGCAATGGAAAATTTGGATCCTCTCTGTTATAATAACCTTTGCTTTTTGTAATAAAAATTGAATTTTCAATTTTAATTAGCGCGTTTCCATGCTGATGATATCGTTTAAAATAATTATTATTGTATTTATTAGCTTTCTCACAACATTCCTAATTTCAAAATGCAAATTAATGATGGATCATTGATTGAGGTTGATGATAGCGACGCCAATTGATCCTCTTCTACTGGATATGTCAAATCGGGCGACAATACGACGCCGTTTTAATGTGAAACAATCGTGAAATAAAATGATTTGGACTTGAATGAAAATAAATATACGATTCATTTTTCCTTTTTTCAAATGTTGGATTTCATATTTTGACTTTATTGTTGAATTGTACTTTGATTTTAATTTTAATTATCAAATTAGTTTTATATTAGCTGAAAAAAAAGGTGCACATTAATTCGTTGAAATTTGTTGATTGAAAGCTTAGGTAATTGTAAATCATTGGGTAAAGTTGTTAACAAAATGATGCGGCTTTAATCAAATATTTACTCAAGTGGGATCGGTAAACTTCTGAAGTTGATTTAATGACGTCAATAAATATTTGGAATTTTTCATTCTTTTAAAGAAAATGAAAAGAACCAAATTTTGCAATATAATAAAAACTTCATTTCTTCCTCTTTCAGTTCCTTTTCTAACAATCAAAGTTATGTATAATTTATGGAAGTTAAAATGAGGGAAAGGTTTTTACACAAACTTTAAACGAAATTAAAAAATCGAAAAATTTTTAATTGGATTTGAAAATTTTGTAAGAAAAAACAATTTAAAATGTGAAGAATGAAAAGTAACGAACAAAGAAATGATCAAATTTCTCACTATTTAGCACTTTTTATTATTCATTGCTGATATTATTAATAATATCTAATATTACGCAATAACATCAATTTTCTGCCGAAAATTCATGACAGTCAACCTGATTAAATCTACTGATAAACCGGAAAAACAAATGGTTCCATCTTATCTGATGAATCATTATCATCCGACGTCAAAATTAAGCAAAATTCTGTTTTGGAATGAAAAAAGTCTGTAAAAAAATGGGCGCAAAAAACTTTTAAAAATCAATAATATTTTTATATTATCATAAGGGACGAAAAAGATCTCACGATTTTAAGGAGGATAAAAAAAAGTTTTCTGCTAAATTGTCTCACAGAAAAAGTATTATATTGCGAAAAAAAAGGCCAAACTTTTACATTTGCTTACATAAATGAAATTTTATCGAAAAAAGTTGAAACTAAAAAATTTGAGAAATTTTAAAAATTAGTGTCTTTTTGTCTTTTGCATGCCATTTTCTATCTATTTTGACGAGTAAAGGCACTACTATTAACGATAAATTTCAGATTCGTTAAAATGATCAAGGAATTGAAATGCCGAAATTCTATCTTCTAATTATTTATTCCATGCTATAAACTTTGTATCAAACTGAGTCTTTTGAATAAATCTTTAATTTTTTGATTTCGATTTTTTCAATTATGCATAATTTCAGGTTATTTGCGATGGAAACATGCGTAGCAAAGATTTATATTTTGACAGTCATACTCCTTACTATTACGTACCATTCATTTATTGGCAATGAGCATTGCATCATTGCCGCTTATCACTGATAAGATAGTGACTTGTTGAGAAGGAATATTTCCGCTACTACCATCGAATGATTCACGTTATGACGGAATATTTTCGTTTTTGGTCAAAATTTCCTTTTAACCACTCACTATCGCTATTGATGATAACCGTTTGGATAATCATCTTATCATTAGCAGCAACAAATGTGCAGGTTTATCAGTTGCTTATTATTTGTATAATTTTAGCAATTATAATTTGGTCTAATTATTTTCTTGCATACTTTAGCTTCTTCAATTCAATGATAATTTCAAGAGTTTGAGGAAAGTGTACGTCAAAATCAAGCTATTAAGATACATTTTTTCCTTATCATGGATAAGTAAACAAACTTTAAGCTGCGGACATTGCTTTACACAATTATTGTCATCGGAAATCTTTGGTTACTTCTTGGTGACAGTGATATGATTAGATACGTTCATGCCAGCCTCGTTTAGTCATTGAACAATTTTGCTTGATTTGATATTTAAACTGCCAATCATTTTGATTTCTATCAAATTTAATAACGAAGTGTGGATGTAATGCTTTTACTATAATGTTAAAATGAATTCCTAAAATTTAGACAGAAATGAATTTGTTGAATAAATTGAGGCTTAAAATTTATTGTTAATTTGTATAAAAGAGATAACAAGCGAAAAGTATCACTTACTTAGATAAGAGAATATCATCTTGATGATGAATGGCAACTGATAAGTGACAATTTGATGACCTATCCATAACCAATATCCACCTGTCTATGACGATTTAACCATGACTAATACAAACCCTTGGTCATAGCTAAATTTGAAAATTTGAAAATTTAAGTTTAAAAGCAAATATTTATAATATTTTGCGATAGATCCTCACATTTTAATGATAATAAAAAGTGTTAATTTAGTAAATATTCACGGAAAAATGAATTATTCAAAAAACAGAAAAACAATCAAACATATGAGATATGATTTTGAAACTTTTTTAATAATTTCAAATTAAAATTCTGTCAATATTCCTGTTATTAACAAATTATATTATTCCATATGATGCTGATTTTTTTTCTACTTTTTGATCCTTAATGATTGATTAAAGGAATTTATCAATTTTAAGGCAAATGATAAGACAGTGATGACACTGAATGATTTGACCGAAGCAGTCATCGAACGAAGTTGTTTGTGTGGACGAAATAATGAAAATTTTAAAAAAAACGATGAATATTTACTATTGCTATTGAAAATTTCATCAGTTCGAATAGTAAGCACATTACAAAATCTTGCCCATCATATTAATGGTAAGTCTATTGTTATCTTATCATTTTTATTTTATCATTTAATTGAAATGACATCTGTCAAATGGATTTTAAAGATAAATAATAATAATAAATGATGATTCTATCATAATTCCTATGCTGTATATCTTAATAGTTGTAATAGGCAAACGATAGATGATAATCCAAATGTATAAATCTTTTAGTAGTTGAATGAATATTCATAATATATTACTCTAATTTACACACATATATATTGTAAGAAGCATATTTTCTTTATGTTGATAAAGTTGAAATTATATTAATCGTTAGGATATAATAGTTTTACTAATATACTAAAGTATTAATATACTAAAATTAATATACCAAAACTTCATAGTTTTATTAATATAGTTTTTGTGCAATCATTCGCCTGATACTAATAACTCTTAGGTTTTAAATTATGATATTTATTGAGTTGAATTTCCAGCAGAAATTACTTATCTTATCGAATTAAGTCGATGGAAATTACTTGAAGAAATGTCAAAGTATTTCCCCCGATTATTTTATCAGCCATCTGTAATCGATTCGATCGATGCTCTTATTGATAATATTCGTAATCAACTTTTCATTACAACGGTTCATTTTGATGAAATTAGATTTAAAGTACCACAAGTGATAGTTTATGTCCAAGTTCTGACATGTTATTTTTGTTAAAAACTATTTAATCAATCGATACAGTATCTTCCATCAAAAAAATGTTCAATAATAGTCATTATTGACAGATGACAATATTTTTCATTTGTTCCGTTGACTATTAACAATTATTTGAAAGGTCAAAAAATTGAAGTTAGTATTATAAAATTCTGAATTTAACAAAATTTTATAATTTGTTTCATTTTTTTTTCAGGAAATTTCACCACAGCAAATTGAGAATGAAATTGAAAAAACAGTTCAAGAATTCTTCGTACAACTTATTCCGGCAACATTTCTTTGCATAACAACGGGTCCATGCAAATCAGTATCACAATCATATGCCAATTGTTTGCAGAATAATTCACCATTTTGGAGAACATTTTTTGGAATGGAACCAGATAAACTAAGTGCCAATTTATGGCAAACAGTGATGAAATATCGTCTCATGGAAGATACTATCGATAAGTTACACAGGTTAACACTTCGTTTTTACAAGTAATAGAGGGAAAAAAAAGGAAAAAAAGAAGTTTCCACTAGAAAGTCATTTCCTGAATGTTAAGTATTATACGCAACAAAAAACGTACACTGTAAGTTTTCCGGAAAACCATACTTAAATACAGGTGTTATGATGGCAAAAAAATTGCAAAAATGCATTCCGGAAAGTTTTACTGAAATACTAAATATGATAAGGGAGAAAAAACGCTGCAGGAATGTATATCTCATATAATCTTTCATCAAACTGAAAGAAATTTGTTTAAAAATTAAAAGAAATTAAATTAGCCATAACAAAGGGGAATTCTTGCTTGTTTTGTTGTTTGTTGTCACAAACTTTAATTAACGAAGTTAATTTGAATTTTATCAGTTGGCATTTTTTTAGATTAGCCATGGAAGTGGAAGTTGTTAATAATTCGTGCATAACAAAACATGCAAATGTGATGGCAAGTTGTGCATCAATTTGTATTCCAATGAAACAAGAGACGATCAATCACTGCAGTGATGATTGCAAACACGCAATGCATGAATGTTTGCGCGAAGGTGCAAGTGATTGGGATAGTTTCATATCAGTTTTGCAGAAATTAAGTACCAATTTTGACAAAGGTTTCACTGAGGTATATTTTATGGATTTAATTTTTAATTGACAACGCATTTGTAAATCTATCAGCTGAATTTATTTATTCATTTCCACATCAATTAACTTGGTCACTTTATCGTTTTTTTTTATTTAGTTGCATTATTTTTCATCTAATTATATTCTCCATTTCGAATAACAATTTGTTTTCTTAGAAAGGATGGAATGGTAAATTTTATTCACAATGAAAGAGTTTTGTGAATCCTTCAATTTTATAGTCAAAATCAACATCACTTAAATGTTTTCTCAGCGTGACTCTCATCTAATGCTTAATTTGAATTGTCAAATTTTTTTTATGAAACAGTATAAGTAATATTTTCTCATGATGCAGCAGTTGCAAGTCATATGGGATGGAATATTAATTAAGATAATTAGTAGAAAAAGGTAGATAAAGTGCGGCAGTTGATTGTTTCCGTTTAAACAAAATTAAGCTTTGAACTAGTCAGAAACAAATATTTTTTAAAGATGCTTTTCAGAATTTATCCAATAGTAATGAGCATCTGACACTGCCATAAAACTTATTAATTACCTAATTACAATTATTATCACGATAAATCTTTTTTAGCTTGAAAAGGGTGTCATTCGATCCATTTCTTATGCAATGGAAATGCAAGCTCCAATGATTGCTAAAACGATACTAAGGAAATGTGGACGGATAAATTTTGCTAAAACACCAGATAACATCCGACATATTGATTATCAGAAGCCGGACCCGGTACAAAAACGAGTAGTATTTACGATCCGGCAGGTAAAATAAAAAAGATAAAAAATATAAGCAGCAAAGGATGACTTAAATAAGTCTAACTTATGTAATCTTCAGAGTATTTTCGTAAAAAAATACCAACCAACCGGAATTTTCAAAATTTTAAACATTTATACCTTTTACTTGGTATCTTCAAAGGAAAAATCTAACGTAATAAAAACATAATCGGAACGTCACAATTATTTATTTTCATCTTTTAAATATTTAATCAATAAATGCATAGCTATATTTTCCATCGTTTAATTTAAAATAGAAAAAAACTGAATGGAAATACAAATTTTACCAAATTTTAGAATTCAAAAAGCAAAAAAAAGACGGAAAAATTTATGTTTTACTTTTCCTTTCAAGAAAATAGCTAATTATGTAGCAAAATATCGTTATATGCATTTTTTTTTTTTGATTGATTGAGAGTTGAAGAAGAAAAAAGATAGATGTAAGCATCAGTTGGTAATACACAAACAAATGTTATGTGAATAAAACAAGAAAAAAGAAAAAGGATGATATAACACAGCAAAAGCATTCAAATTGTTAAGCTAATTTTGAAGTATAACAGGAAGAATAACTTCCCTTCTATTACTTATTTATTTATATGCTTACTCGTAGCAATTGTATTCAAAAATTTTCAGGGATAAGGTTTGTTTAAAATTTATGAAGAGAACAGGTGAATAATAGTTTTCGAATTAAATGCAAAGTAATTTTAAATAAGAGAATTAATCAATTCTTTTTCTTTTTGTTAAAATGGTAGTTTCCAGATTAAATGAAAAATAGTTTTAAATAAGAGGATTGATTAATTTTTTTCTTTCCTTTTTTGGTTTCTTTCTTTCAAATTTTAAGCAAATTTTATCATTTAAAAAAGAAGAAAAACCATATTTGTGATTATTTATTAGAGTTAGAAAAAGAAGAATGGATAAAATAAGATATTTTTAAGCATATAACAAATTGTATAACCAAGAAAATTTTCGAAAAAAAAAACTTGAGACAAACTGTAAAGATATACAGTCGATGGTATCATAGCAAAGATAATATTCTTGAGAAGAGAGTAGTGTGTTCATATACTTATTTCAAATATAAATTAAAATTAATTTCAATACTAGGAACGCTTAATCTAAGATTACGGTTCAAGTCAAAAGGAATTAAAAGCTGCATTGAAATGAAACCATTAAATAATTTAAATTATCATTCAAGCAATCTATCACCACTCATAGAAAACAAAATGAACAATCTAAAGGTCGAAGAAGGCTAAATAACTTATCTAATGTCAAATTTCTAGAAATCATAGAAGTCTATCAGGAATGTCTAACAGATAGCTACATTTTAATAATTCAATTTTTTTTTCTTAATTTGGATGCATAAATGATAATTATTTATTTTTAGATTTTAATCTCTTCTTTTTTTTTTGTTGCCTCTTATCCGTCCTTTCGTAATCGTCATTCTAAAATTTTTTAAATCAAATATGTCAATCAGTGATGGGAAATTTATGCTTTCCTCTTTTTTTTTATTTTCTCATTCATTACAACGAATGGTTTAATTAAGTTTTTCTAAAAAAGAAAAGATGATAATTCATCAAAATGATGCATAAAATGAAGTGAAAAAGTTGAAATCATAGCGCATATTTGTTAGTGCTAATAATTCATAAAATTTTTTCAATCTATCCCTTTCTTTTCATTCTCTTTTCCTCAAAGATTTTAATTTTTTGTCAATTCTTTTTTTTTTGAAATAATCCGAAACAAAATAGTATGATAGGAAGAAAAACTTTGTAAATTTACTTTGAATAATAATCAATCATTGAAATTTTAAAAGAAAAATGATAGGAAATCTTTGAATTTCCCTGAAAAATATGCATTCAATGAAAAAAGAGAGGAAAGAAGTTATTTGATAAAAATACGTTCAAACCGTATGTTTGAAGGAATGTGTTGTGTGAAAACACTATTAATCTCTTTGGTTTTTAAAGAAAGAGAAAGCGCAAAAGTACCGGTAAACAAAGAATTATTTCAGAACTGCAAAAGGTTTCGATAGTTTATTTTTGGTAAATTTTGAGAAATTATTTTGATGAAACAAAGAAAAGAGAGTTGTATAGTAATGTTTTAAATATTATATAATTTAGAATTATATTGTTTTTTTCTTCCATTAATAACTCAGAGATTCCTCAAACACGATAAATGTATCACTCGAATATGATACCGTACCACTCAAATATGACACTGCATTATCGAACATGATACCGTACTATTCAAACATGATATTGTATATTAAATAGAGTAATTTAGTATCATAAATAAGAAAAAGATAAGAATACAGTATGTGTTTAAATCAATTTGCACTAAGAATGTATTCTTTGCATATATTCCTCCTCTCTCTCTCTCTCTCTTTCTTCACCTCTAAATAAAGGAAATTTGAGTAATTTTATCAAGTTATAAATTTAATTTGTACAAACCATGCAAAAATTAATCTTTAAAATCGATTAACTTATTCATTTCTAGCCTGTATTTCATTAATGCAAGTGCAATTTATTCAGATTAGCTAAAAAATATTTCAAGAACATGACAATTCGAAATCAAATTTGGAACCAAAAAATCAAAAACCAAATTAAAAATTCTTTTACTTTTATTAGGTGACGGCCTGATGAAAGAATTTAAGCTGTGCTTTTAACATCAAGTTGAAAATAACGCTAAGTTTTTGAATATACCAGTAATACTATTATTACTATTAGTATTCGAATACTTAATATCAAATTAAAATAATACTAATATTACTAGCTGGTTCTTTCTTTTTTGCTTTCCAGTTTACGGCATATGTTGGATGGTGGCGACAACTTGTCAACAATATTTGTAGTAATCCACCACGAACATCAAAGTGTTGGAACAGTACCGTTCTTATTGATAATAGGTAAACCTTCTGCTTTTTTATTTCATTTTTTTTAATTTCATCTATTTTTAATTTGCTGGAAATGATCTTTATTTAAATTTAACTATTTTATTGGCAGTATTTGAGCAATCAGACTGAATAAGTATTTGAGTATTAATAATAAAATATTTTAAAAACAAATTTTAAATTTGCATAATAAGTGAAATGAATAAAGATAATTCTCAGTAATCATTCGAAATAAATCACATATTGATAACAGGAATTGCTTCGAGTTTTTTTTCTTTTTACTTTAATAGGCAGTAATCAATGGAGAGAAAATATCAAAACTCAATCAATCTGTATTCGTGTCGGTTACTTCAAATTGTTGTCCTTCTAAAAATGCCTTTTTTTTTTGAGGGTCACTTTTAGAAAGGAATCTGTTAGGTTTTGTTTTTGGTGCAATATTTCGTTGATGAAATTGGAATTTTATAATTAAATGTCAAATATAATTTCCTATAAGCTTTTAGAATAGTTATATGATAATTTTTCTGATAAAAACTTTAAACAGGAAAAAATTTAATTCGAATTTTTCAAGTTTCGTCATAGTGCCATCATTTGTGATGTTATTATGTGCAATGATAAGTAATCATAATCATAGATTGAATTAATGGTTATAGTGAAAACAATATACTAAAATGAAGTGATAGTTATACATTTATTTTTTCTTATCATTTGATGATTGATAAAAGAACAACAAAACAACAAATATTTGTAAAAATAATGGAGAGAAAATAAGAAAAAAAAGGAAAAATATAAAGGTAAAAAGAGTTTTTATCGAGAAAATTATCGTGCAATCTTTTTAAAAACTCATAAAAAATTATATTCAATTTTTAATTGATAAACAATTATATTAAATAATTAATAAAAACTTTTTTTTTAATATAAATAGCATTGCATTGTAAATTGCGTTGCATTTCTTTTTGTTTTTCTGTTTTCAAATATTTACTAATTTAAATTTGATCGATCTTTTTTTTAATACTTATCATTTAATAATGATAGGAAATAGACAGAGAGAGAAGAGGAGAATGAAAAAAAGTGTGAAGTGAATAGAGAGGAAATGAATTCTCGAATAAAAATGAACATGAAAATTTAAATGAAATGAGAAAGAATCATTCGTGATCGAAAGGTGAAGGGCGCAAAATGATGAAAGACGAAATCATCTCCGTCCTTTTCTTCTCTATGTACCTTTTTGATTGTCAGTCATCATCTTTTTCCGTTCAGCCATTTCATTTACATCCTTTTCCGAAATTCCGTTTTTTTTTCCTCCATCCTCATACTTTACTGTCATCTTATGATTCCATACTTTTCGTTTACCTCTTCCCCTCCCCCTCCCCCCTCCCCGTTATTATCACTATCTTACATTTTTTAACTGATATGATTGCTTCCCTTCTATCATTTCGCCTCTTTTTTTTATTACATGTGCGATAAATATTTCCTTTTCTTTTTCATTTTTTGCAAAAAGAAAGTTTCATATTCAATTTATTCGCAGAAATAGTTTGAAATGTGAGATTTACTCAATTTTTATTTGATTCAGTTTAATCAATTCTAATACAAATTACTATACCCAATTTATCATTTTCAGTTATTCAAATTTATTACCTATTACTTTTTTATTACATTTAAGATTTTTCTTCACCAAATTTTTATTTGATTTTTTTAAAAAGTTATTTTAGTAACATTGATTTATTTGCAAACAGTTATTGTGATATTTCATTAGTATTACAATTTTCATGTTTACTATTTTTTCCCATTTTATGAGAATATTCAGTAATATTCATAATTTAAAATAGGAAATCATATTTGTATTACTTGATCAAATTTATTTACTTTTTTATTTCCTTATACCATAAAAACTGATATTGTAAAGCAGGATTAAAAAAAAATGAAAGAGAAATTGAAAGAGAAAAGATGAAGAAAGATAGGAAGGCAAAAAAGTGAAAAAGTAGAAGGACTTATCCTCTTACAAAACAAATATTTCGTAAAACTTTAGATGTATTCTTAGCGACAATAAATTAATTAACAAAAGCAGATTCGATTCTTTAATTTATTTCCCACCTCTCATTATCTAATATTACTTCCTTATTTATAAA